ATCTCACCCAAAAGCTTAATGAAAAAGCTGGCGAGGAGAAGATGACCCTTGTTCAGGACATGATGGACGACTGCAACACCATTATGAAGATGACCTGGGCAGCCCTCTTCCTCGAGACCGGCTATGAAAAATGGGAGGGCCAGTTCCCCGCCTGTTCTGATCAATACAACAAGAAGATCATTCAGCGGGCAGACGGCGAGGAGGAGGAGGAGGCGGAGGATGAGGCTTCAGACTCCACTTCCGGGGAGTCGGACCAGAAAGAGGATGACAAGTAGGAGGCGGATGCCAATGAGGAAGAGCCGCCGCAAAAGGAGGCGGACGCTGAGAAAGAACAAGCGCTGGTTGAGGATCAAAACCAAGCGGCTACCGACACTGAACGTCCTCCAACTGCTTGAACTCCCATTTTTTTATGTCAACTTTCTTCGCCCTGTGTACCGCTTGTTCTGTATCATTACCCGACCAAGGGGTCGGGGTTTACTTGACAATTTTAATGTTTAACATTTCTGTCGGTCTCCTGACCGACTATTTATATTAAACATCCGGCCTTATTGGCCGTTCTCTTCAATTTTTTACATTTGAATTTTGCTTCATGAAATTTTGATATGCATCACATGAAATTTGCTAAGTGTAGCTTGCCGTTTTTGCATTTTTTAAGTGCCGATTGTTTTCTTATACCGATTGTACTTGCCCCTGGCCGGCTGTGCGCCTGGTTTTCTAAGGTTGATGGATTGACTTGGAAATCTTTGATACTCTAAGAAGTATGACTAATTTTTTGGTCAAACAATCACTATGGTGATTGACCCAAACCAGGCGGACAGGCGGCTAATCGACAGGCGGACACTCAGCATTATCCAGCTCTTGGCCTCAATATAGTTTTAACATACCTTGGTTTTATCACTAAGTTTTGTACTTAGTTTATGTTATTGATTCTAAATAGTCCGTCTGCTTGGTGCTTGTACAGAACAGGCACCAATCTAGATATTTTTAATCAAAGTAGGTTCTAAGGCGTGCTAACTATAATAGGAACAGTGGCCGAATGTCGTCTGTTTGCCAAAAAACAGGCGGTTTCATTCGTACCTTTTAGATTCCAATTGTAGGGTGGATGTGTGACTATGAGTCAACTTTTTTAGGTTGATCAATCTCCGTCATTTGCACTTGAATAATCAGTAGAAATATCGACTGTGGCCGCATGTTTATGCTTATAACTTAGAGGAATAGTGTCCGAGTACCGTGTGTTTGCCAAAAAACAGGCGGCTTGGTTCGCACCGTTTAGGTTCCATTTCAAGGTTGTCAATGTGACTATGAGTTAACCCTTTAGGTTAATCAATCTCTGTCACTTTGATTTGAGTGAGTAGAAGAATCAGGCGGCTTCGGCCGCATGGTATCTCTTTATTTGCCAAGTTTTGCTTAGCTATTTACTCAAATTATGCCGACTGTATTGTCCTAAGCAATAACAGGAGGTTTCTGACTTAGATTTTAACTGTCTACCGCATGTTAGCAGTATAGTGGTACATTTATCTTTGTCTCAGGTCAAACGACTGCGAGGTTGTCTAGGAGACACTTGGTAGGGCCGTTTGTTTTAGGTTTATAGAGCAATGTGCCACCCAAATGGGAGATGCTCTCTGCGACGAATTCACCCGGATGGATGTCGCCGGACGCCTGCTCTTTTTTGGGACAGACGTATTATTTTAATTTCATAAGGATAATCCGTCCATGGGCCTTAGGTTGATCATCCGGCCTGTGGCCTCAATAGGTTCAGAGAAGAACAGTTTGCTAAGTTGTCTAGACTTACATTTTTATTGATATGCTTACATATGCAAATAATTTACAAATCTCAGAAGTAGTACTTTTTCAAGTTACGTTCCAAGTTCTAGCTAGCTGCCTGCCGTCTGGTGTTTCCAGGCGGTAGGCGCCGCCTCTAACTTCTTCATAGATTCGGTAGGGGCCGTCCCAGTTAGGAGTTAGCTTTCCCTGCTCGTTGGCCCTACCGACTGCTTCCATTTTTCGTAGCACAAAGTCCCCTACTTTTAGGGGCCGCTTGTGCACTCTTTTATTGTAAGCTCTCGTCATTCTCAAACGGTAGATCTCATGGCGCAAGGATGCATTGCCCCTGCGTTCTGGAAGTGAATCCAATGCTAGCCGCATGGCTTCCCAGTTGGCCTCTTCGTCATAAAGCATGACTCGAAGAGTCGGCTCATAGTGCTCAATAGGCAGAATAGCCTCTGCCCCATAAACCATGAGAAATGGAGTTTCACCAGTCGCCACTTTTTCAGTCGTCCTGATGGCCCACAGAACATGCGGTAGCTCGTCAGCCCATAGGCCACCGGTTCTTTCAATTTTCTTCTTGATGCCATTAAAGATTAACTTGTTGAAGGCTTCAACCTGGCAGTCTGCTTGGGGGCGGCCGACTGATGCAAAACAATGAGAGATTCCTTGGTCTCCCAACTAGTTCTTGAGAGTAGGCGTCTCAAATTGTGGTCCATTGTCAAAAACCATAGACATGGGTACCCCATACCGAGTGATGACATTTCTCCAAATGAAGGAGATGACATCTTTTGTTTTTATGCCTTTGACTGCCTCCGCTTCTACCTACTTGGTGAAGTAGTCGACTGCTACCAAAATATATCTCCGTCCGCTTGTCGCAGGCGTATAGGGACCAAGAATGTCCATGCCCCATTTGGCGAATGGTACTGGGCTATGGATAGCCGTCAGGTTAGTGGCCGGACAATGGATGAGCTTGCCAAACCTTTGACACTTGTCACATTTTTTAACCATCTCCATGGTGTCTGCTTCTAAGGTAGGCCAGAAGTAGCCTTGCCGCCTGGCTCTCTTTGCTAGTGTCCTGCCGCCTATATGGGAGGCACAGAGCCTTGAATGCAAGTCTTCGAGGACCTCTCGGCCCTTTTCTGGGGTAACACACTTCAAAAGAGGTTGTAGATTGCCTTTCTTGAAAAGTTCCCCTTTGTGAATCTCAAAGTTAGACGCACGCTTTTTCATTATGATTCATCTCTAGGTAAGTATCCGGCAGGGTGCCGTCTGTTAAGTATGCCCGGATGCCATCCATCCGGGTTGAGCTTCGATCAAGGACTCAAATAGGTTCCTCCTCAATGCTTCTTTTTTCCATCACTTCCCAGGTGTGTCACAAGAGGCGGATGATGCCAATTTGGAGAGGGCATCCGCCTGGTTATTCTCGGACCTGAGCACTTGACTTAGATGGAATTCCTCAAGTGTCCCAGCCTCTTCTTTGGCCGCCTGTAAATACTTGATCATAGCCGGATGTGTGGCATCATAGTCACCATGGTATTGGCTAACAATCAATTGTGAATCAGAACAGGCGTCTACTTTCTTTGCCCCAGCCGCCTTACACATGCGGATGCCGGCTAATAGGGCTTCATATTCTGCCTCATTGTTCGAGGCCTGGAACTTAAAACGCAGTGCATATTCATATTTGTCCCCTTCAAGAGACTGACATATGACGCCTGCACCACAACCGTTCATTGTGGAGCACCCGTCCACATATACCACCCAGACTTGGTCAGGATTGTCTGGATCAGCCGGCCTAGTCATTTCAACAATGAAGTCAGCTAGTGCCTGCCCCTTCACTGCTTTCCTTGGCTCAAAAGTAACTTCTAGGCTTTGCATTTCAATTGCCCACTTAATCATTCGGTCGGATGACTCAATGGTTGTTAGTGGCCGCTTGATTGGTTGATCAGTGTAAACCACGACCGGGTGTGCCAAGAAGTAAGGTTTCAGCTTCTTAACTGCCATGAAGAAGGCCAGGCCAAATTTATCAACCATGGGGTACCGTAACTCAGCATTTTTCAGGACATGGCTGATGAAATAGACGGGGAGCAGGCATCCGTCTCTTTCAGCAAGGAGAACGGGACTGAGAGCATGATCAGAGACGACCAAGTACATGTATAACACTTCCTTTGACAAAGGGCTGACTAGCCTTGGGAAAGAGTGCAAGTGTTCCTTCATCTTTTGGAAGGCCGCCTCTGCATCCTTCCCCCATTCAAACATAGTCTTCTTCTTGATTGCTTGGAAGAAATAGAGGCACTTGTCGCCTGACCGACTGAGGAATCTCCCCAATGCCGCCAAACAAACTGTTACTTTTTGAACTTCCTTTACAGTACGGGGCAACTGCATGTCTATGATTGCCATTATTTTTTCTGGATTGGCCTCTATCCCCCTTTGATCAATCAGAAATCCGAGGAACTTCCCAGACTCCACACCAAAAACACATTTCTTGGGATTGAGCATGACCTGGTGCTGCTTGAGTGTGGCAAATGTTTCTCGGAGATCTGTAAGATGGTCCGTCTGAAGTTTGGGTGGTCTCTGCTCTCTGGTGTCTAGCAACTCTAGCTTTTGGTTGCACCTTGTCACAACCTTAAAGTGCTCTTCACTTGGCTTGTTCTACCTCTGTTCCTTGGTTAAAAAGCTTGTGTTGTCACTTAGATGAATCCAATGCACATTAATTTCAGTTTATACTGGTGTACTTAATTTTTATAATTCTTATGGCTCTTTTTTAATTGCTCAGGGAAGTTATTTCAATACTATTGAGAGTGACCAATTTGATCCAGTTCAATCCAGTACCCCCTCATTTTCATTTGTTGAAGTATTATTTTGTAGTCCTGTTTCAGGTATTATGTTTCACAGATTGTTGATTGCATACATGCACCTTCTTTGTGGGAACTTGAACTAAAAGGACCCCAAATTCTCATAAGAATCAGGTGCCTACAACAGTTTTTCTGTATATTTTCTAAGCTTCTCAAAGCTTGTTTCACATTACCCATAGAAAGGAAAAGTCGACGATTTATTACTTTACATTTGTAGATCATTAAAGGTTTACGATTTCACTCAACCTAATTTAACGATTTAACCAGATTCACATCTCAATGATTATTTTATTTCTTCTACCTATAATAATAGGCCCTTGGAGCTTTTTTTTCCCTGACACATATACTCATAAGAACCAGGTTCTCTTTGATGACAGAAACTGAAAGGAGATGTCTGACCATTTTGACCAGATTAGTGTTGATAAATGCAAGCAGTGTACCAATATTTCACATTCATACAAAACTAATACAATACATAAGATTATAAACTTTGCCTCCGGCAGGTTTAAGAAAGTTGGGAAAGACTATATTAGAAGAAGAACTACATTGATCAACCTTCTTGCTCAGGCAAAGTAGGATGCTCCATATACAACTGTAAACCTAGAGGTTCAGAACTCATGGACTTTATAGGAGTTATCAGTGGAGCTTTCTGCCATTGCTTTGTGTCTGTTGGTATCCATAGCTCCAGATCATTGCTTGCACTAATCTGAGCATCAGAATGGAAAAAAGCGGTTACTTCCCACCTGCAATCTGGACCCACAAAAGCTTAGAGATCAAACAAAATTCCTAACCAAACAGACAACTTTAAGTAAAAAAACATTGACACTTATATATAGGCAGGCAGACTTCTCAGCTCATACCCCTAGGGAGAACCCTTAAAAGGTCCTTAGACAAAGAGAGCTTGACAAGAAATGATCTAAGAGAGAATCCAAGGTCAGCTTCTTCCACATTCGATCCATAAGATTGATTCACTTGAAGCTTGAAATTATATCTTTCCAATAAATTGCCCTCGCAATCAAAGAATATAACTGCTACTCTGTCAACAGATCCCTACTTCACAATACAAAAATTAAAATGCAGAAAGGGCTAAGTTACTGACTTAATGATAGTTGTATTCACACACACACTTTTTCAAATAGCTTTAGCAGGTAATAAATGGTGATGGATTTAAGTGTAAATTAGGAACGGAATTGACATTATAAAGCAATTTTATCCTCAAGCATGTGTCTTCTTCATGATTTTTATCACCATCCATTATCCCTTGGGGAGGAGGTATAAAGTACAAACGAAAATTTATATAGAAAAATGGAAAATTTTGGGTGAACTAGCATTATCATGATAATGATCTTGATTTTCCTTCCAAATTTACATACAAATTCATTCCCACTACCATTATTCAAACGATCGTTAAAGGCAAAGTAAATTCATAAAAACAGAAAGAAACCTTTTCAAGGAAAGGAAAGAGTCCATCAACAGCAGAGTGAATGTAGTCTTGCAGTTCAGGGTGCTTTGCTTTATGAACCACCATATTCAAGTATCTTCGTCTTTCGAATGCTCCTATATCATTCAACACAACCATGAAAAGAAAAGACTTAAACATCATACAAATTATTCATCATTCCACATAATACAGATTACAAATGCATTCACATAAGTAAAACCATCATTCCACATAATAAAGATTACAAATTCATCCACATAAATTAAACCATCATTCCACATAATACAGATTAGAAATGTATTCACATAAATTAAACCATCATTCCACATAATACAGATTACAAATTCATTCACACAAATTAAACCATCATTCCACATAATAAAGATTACAAATTTATTCACATAAATTAAACCATCATTCCACATAATACAGATTTCATTCACATAAATTAAATCATCATTCCACATAATAAAGATTACAAATTCATTCACATAAAATAAACCATCATTCCACATAATACAGATTACAAACGCATTCAAATAAACTAAACCATAATCCCACATAATACAGACTACATATGCATTCAGATTTTCAGAAGAATGTGATTAATTATTGAAAAAAAATATCCTAGTTAAGTAAACTCATTTCTTGGACAACATACCAGAAGGGTAAACACCTTTGTGGAAAACAATGGAAGTAATGGCCACTTCCAGAAAATCTACCAGAATTCGAGCTATCTGTTTTGGGTCCATTTTCGTGCTAAATTAATGGCTTCTCTTATCACTTCCCAAAACCCTTGGCATACTGCGGCTCTTCTTCAACCTCTAAAGTCTAACCATTGTAGATAAACGGCTTTTCTTTCTCTCTATTCATTTTCTTTCATTTCGGATTGCTTTTGATTTTTGTGTACCAATAACACAAGGGAGCCCCAATTGATCCCCAATTGATGTTCGTGATAAAATAAAATCATTTATATACTGATATTTTTGTAAATAAATCAACAAAATATTTAGGGAATTTTTATAAATAAGCCAACAATTTTTAATAATTACGGGTCCCATAAATATTGACTTATTTACAAAAATTTCATATTAACTAAGATATTTTGTTAATTTATTTATAAAAATGTCACTAGATAAACGACTTTTGTTTATCACCAAGATAAACTTGTATTTTCTTCAATAACACAGGGCGGCCCCATTGATCTTTTAGATAAACAACAAATTTTATTTTACAATAAATGTTTATCTAATGACAGTTTTGTTATTATGCATGTGGAACAGTATTTCGGTCATGTCATTAGCTTGCTGGGGAAGCATGTACAGTTCACTAGTCCAATGAAATAAACCAAGACTAACAACGTCTATGAACTCCGTAAATGGTGTACGCTGCTTAGTTAGTAGTCAAAATCTTGTTCTTGACGCTTGTATGCATTCATTTTTTTTTTCTTTTTATTAGGGTAGCTAGTCATATCAGGAATCTCTTTCGATTTGATCTTACATCACAAATTTAGTTATAGTATTGGCAGCATTAATTAGAGAAAATATAAAAACAAACATATTTAAGGGCATAAATGTCAACGCACTATTCTCAAAAGTTAAAAAAAAGAGGTAATTAATGTTTTGGGGTTTTCTGATGTGTCCAGGTAGATTTACAACTCCAAGACCAGATCAACGTGCGCATGTACCTGCAACAAACGAAAGCTCCGGTTGTTCGGAATTATGACTCCGACGATCAAGTTAGTAAAGGATGGGGTAAAGTAAATGCGGAAAGTAAAAGTTGCTCTTCTCGGATTCCGAGATCTAGGTAGTTTTTGCTGTTGTAATAACAGATGAATAATGTCTGAGGTTGATGTAATAATTGTGAGCGTCCCTCCCAAGCTAATAAATGTCCATATTTATAGGGTATGGGAGTGCGTGCCCTTACCTTAGATCGTTTAACCTAGGTACTTGGGTTGCACCGATTTTACGATGCATCGGGATTTCAGCCCATGAAGGCCGCCATTTTACCTTATGATCGGTGTGACACGTGTCTTATCCTAGTTGGCTCTTTTTGAGCGCCTTCTAGGGTGACACATGTCACGGCTTGATTGGACCACATGTCTAGGATATTTTTACCCTAAACATTTGCCCCTCATAGGGGTGACGTGGCAGAACATACGTGGTGCCTGTGTCACTTAGCTCGTCAGGCACATAGAGGGTGATGGTTGTTTTAAACGTTCACCTTCGTCAGAAATTTACAGGGATGCCCCTACTTTTACCCTCTATAAATAGAAATTTTAGCCTCCCTCATTTTTGCACTTTTACAAAAAATTCTTAGAGAGAGATTCCGAAAGCATTTAGAGATACCGTCTGTCTCTCTTATGTTTCTCCTTTTTCTTTTATTTACCACTTGTGCTTGTTTTTTAGCTTTCAAAAATGGTTTCTCAAACACACACCATGTATCCCAAAGGGACGTTATCCCTTTAATTTACTCCAGTAATCCCACTACCTAAAGCGGTTAGAACATTCATCAAATTCTCATTAAGTTGGTTATTTTTCTCCACTAAAGGTTCTAGTCTTATAACTACTTCGGTTGCTACACTCTTTGATAATGCCACGTTAGTAGCGTTCAGAGTATCATTAATATCTTAAATAATCTTATCTACTTGTCTGGTAACCGCTTGTTGGGTAATAGAGTCAAAGTTCCTCAACTCGACCGTTACCACTCTGGCGGTTTCTTCCACCATATATGACACGATAGTAGTTATCAAGTGGCTCTATGTTGTTTTCTTTTAGGTCTTCCATCAGACTCTTTACAATATCCACGTATTTAGTGTGAATCGTATTGAGTAAGTTTCTGGTAGAAGACTGGCCTTCTACTCCTTCTAAAACTATTCGTCTTGCCTTTGTGTGTGAGGCTCGAACGGTTCGAAAGAATGTGTCATATGTTCAGTTGGCAGTTGATTTTCTAGATCTGGTTGATCCTCTATAATAGTCTCAAGATTGTGTTTAGATGAATTAACATCTTCCTAAGTGTTTCCTTTATGTGCTGAATGCTTAGGAGTCATGGGAGAAAACTTCCAAATTAACAAAGTGAAATGGATTTAGTTTAGTGTGTCTCCCACTATGGTTGCCAAAAAACTTGTTGAGGCAAATATTGTTCTTTGCCAACAAGTTAAATACTCTATCTTGTTCTAGAGTATTAGGGGGCTGCCCCTCGAGTTACCGGTTTCAAAGACTGATAACCTTGCTTACATAAAAACAGAAAAACAATAAGGAAGCTTTTCCAAAAGAGTAAAACACGTTAGATTGCTCAAAGAATCGAGTAGATAAACATATGAAAAAAGATACAAATGCATTCAATTAATTATAGGATAAAGTCAGGTCTACAATTGTATAAGTTGAAGGAGAGGTTACCTCCATGATTATACAATTTGAAAAGACGAACGATCTTTAATACATGCTAAGGGATAAACTAAACTATTGTTTGGCTACTAATTAAGCCAAGGGAAACTACGAAAGCTAAGAAGAAATCTTATAAGAAATGAGATGCTTCTTGTTGATTGATTTGCTGAAGTCTTCCTCTAATCCTTGCACTTCTATTTATAAGCGAAAATGGAGTGGTTATGGCTGGCTCCCATAACTGTTGTACGGTTATGTCTCTTGGTGCCAACACTTCTTCAAAAATTAGAAAATCCATTTGCCTCCTAAACCGGCTTTGTTTATTGGGCCTTTAAGTGATATTGGCCTAGTTCCTTTTACATCTTGACCGGTCCAAACCAAAACCTTCACTGACTCTAAGACCCATTTCATTTGGTCAAGGTCAAGAAGGTCAAACAAAAAGTCAAAAATCTGATTTTTGGGTGTAACAGTGATTAATGACCTCTAAAATAGTTAAAGATTGAATCTTTATTGGATGATGTATTTGGATCTTGACTTGCTAAAACGCTAAATGAACAAACTTTGAGTTTTAATGATTTTGGAAATCGATTTAAAAGTCATGTTGTTCATGTTTATGTTTGAATGTTGTTCTTCATTGGAGGGTTGAAATATTCAAACATTGATTGAGTCCTAATTGAATAAATTACTTTTCATTAGATGGTAAATTAATTTATTTGATTAGTTTGTCAAAGTAATAATTAAATTATTCATTGTTTGAGTCAATTTGATCATGTTGCCCCTAAAACTTTGATTGAATCAAAGTAATCTAAAATTATTGAAGAATGATTCTTGGAAATTTTGGTTATTGCACTAAACTTGTGTATGTTAATTAAGTTGAACTTAAAATTAATTCAAAATTTTTCAATGTTTACTCAAAATTGGATATAGAATTAAATAAATTCACATGATTATTTCGTGAATGAAAAGCCCGAGACACACCCCAAAATCGAGGCTTGGAGCCTTGGTGCTACCCTCGGCCAGCATGGCTGCCGCGCAACTATGTTAAGCTGCTGACCAAGAGTGATGTGCGGGTGTGTGTGTTGATGTGTGAAGACCAAAGTGTACGGGAGGAAGTGCTGTGGTGCATGTGTGCGTGCCGCAAGGGCAGGGGCTGCTAGGCAGCGCCCAGTACGCAAGGCAAGGCTGCCCAGCAACGCCCGCTGCGAGCACTACCAAGCGCACTAGCGCGCTGCTAGCACCAGCGGCACGCAAGCATGCTAGGCATGCTGCGAGGCTGCTAGTGCTAGTAGGTGCATGGTGCGCTTCTGTGCTGAGCGGTCAGCACCCACACGCAAGCTAGCTGGGGTTGCTAGGCAGCACCCAGCTCAAGCTCTAATAAGGCTGTTTGGCTAGGAAGCCTAGCAGCACCCGGCCATGGCTTGGGAGCTAGTGCTTCGTTTTTTACTTGTGGTTTTACGATTTATTAAAATGAGGCTAAGCCTCGGTTTTTCACATAATTGCGTAATTTTGACAAAAATTGACTTAGTGTGCTTAATTAAATTTAATTGGATTAATTTAATTAAGATGGATGTGGGTTTTAGTGGGAGTTTCGTTAATCGGTTTTGAGCGTCTTAAGCTTTTATTATGCTTGTTTATTGCGTTAGTTTACATAATTGGTTAACAATGCGACTAGTTGTAATTAGGCATGTTAATCGGATTAACCACCTAAGTTAGTAACTAGTGCGCATTTGTTTGATACATGGTTTTGTATTATTGCTCGTATTGCTTGTACTATATGCATGGGCCATTCACTTTGGAAAGTGAATGGGTGAATAGATTGTTAGAAATGTTATCATGCAAGTTTTTACAAAAGTGACTAGTATGACCCGACTAGGATAGTAAATACGGACAGCGTTTCGTTATGTATTTTTGTAAATCTAAATACAGATTGCGTGTCGTTAAGTATTTTTGTGCTTAGTTTATTTAGATTATTCCTAGTTTCTAGTACTTGCATGCTTAATGGTGAAGTCTACAGCTGGTGTATCTTTGAAGACGGAGCCAAAAGGTGCCAAGATGACCTTGAAGATTGAAGATTGGATGCTTCAACATAATTTCAAGGGGTCATACTAGTTCACTATGCATTTTATATATGTCGATTTATATTGCTTATACATCTTGATATTTAGATGCATGCTTCTAGGTTTTCTAATGTTGAATGATTAGTTAAGTTCACTTAAATCAAACCAATATAGAAAATCTAAGTCCCAAAGAAAATTGAGTTGAAATTTGCCATTCCAAAATGACAACTTTCTAAAACTTTGAAAATCGGTGATGGGCTATGCCAAAGCAAAGCATCATCATTTTCACAGGGATGTGAGGTATATTGAATATACATGTAAGCTTTGGTTAAACTCAACAATATCGGTAAGGAGTCCTTAGATATTGTGGCAAACGAGATTAGTGTCATGAAAGCATTATTAGATGCGACAACTTATCAAACCAAGAATAGTTTGGAACTATTAGCAATTGGATTGCTTACCTTAAAACAATATTTTTTAAGACAAGCCCAAGCA